CCCCCCTAATTTTGTTAACTTTAATGTTTAGCACACCGGGATCAATGCTGAGAAGCATCGTTTGGTTGGCTGGGTAATGAACACACAGCACAACACTGTGGTTGGACAATTACAAGGAGAAGTTGGAAGTGTCAGTCGAATGTAAGAATATAATTATAGTTATGTAGTTAGAGCGGGTTTTAATTGAGTGTCATTAAAAAAAAACAAAAGAAAAAAAAAAAAGGCAATCACTTTGGCCAAGATATCACAAAGGGCTCAGACAATCCAGTGAACCAATCAAAACATGAGGCAAATTGCAGGAAAACATGTGTGAGTAAGTCAAGATTGGTTTTGTAATTGTTTTGTTTTAATCAGTTGCTATGTACACTGAACATGACCCCACAAACTGAAAGCTTTGACATGTTTACAATAATTTAAATAAAGGTTGTGTGTATACATGTACATGTATGTATTTATGTTTTGCTTTTACTTCTAACTGGGTGAGATTGTGGTGCAAGTTTTCTAGTGAAACATGCCACATGGTAATGCGAAACCAACTACCTTTCGACACAAGCGAATCACTGGACATCATAACTTTTTCATCCATGTTTAAAGATAAATGTCCTTTATTGTTTTAAAATAATTTTGTAATAATTTGTTGTGTACTTCTGCCAATCTTTTGTTCTTGATGTTCACAATTTATATTAATTTTGTTGATTTGTTTTGAGTTAAGTATTTTGTTGCTTTTGAAGGAAGAAATGGCTGAAACACACTGGAAGTCCCAAATCCAGAATTGACAGATGTGAATTTAAGAATGAAAAGACAATCAGCAAAGTGGAATTTAGAAATTTCTCAATCAGGAAATGACACTGAACATGCCGGCTACAAATGGAAGTTGTAATGTTTCCTATTTCTCAGAGGTTGTTTTTTTACGAGACATTTTGACTCAATGTACAAGTCATTTGATAGCAAAGAAAAAGGTTTTACATGTAAAACTAACAGTATGGTATTGTTGACATAACATTGTACTTTTTCTTTGATATCTAAAAAAAAAACCTACAACAACCACATGTATTGTAAGTTAACTGTTTTCAAGGAAAGTTTTGCCAGATGTGATAACATTGAGAAAATCCCACAGCAGGCATGTTTGTATACATGTATATAAATAGAAAACACCCTGTAGGAAAGGGTGGGCTACTTTAAACTATAACTTGACAAAAAAGTGTTTTACTAGCATAGTTTGATTTTCCTTACTTTTTCTCACATGACAGTGTTTTATTAAAAGAAAAAGAAAATATGAGATGATTTTTCTGTCAGTGACAAAGACACAGTCCTTTGTTGGGTACATTAATTTCTAATAATTCATACTGCAAGAAAACACTGACAAGGCACAAAAATACCGGTACATGTAGGAAACCTCTTTTGAGTGGTATACGCTTATTTTTAAACAGCACATGTACAGTTTTGGAAATAAAAAAGTTTAGTTTATTTATCATTCTCAACATCTTTTTACAAAAAATTATGTTAAGTTTGGTCATGCATTTAAGCTTATTGATCTGAAAGATTGTGTGATTGGCTAAAAGATTTTCTCTCCAAGAGGATTGAAAATAATATTGCCAACAAATACACTGACAAAATTTCAAACATTGTAAATTATAATGTTACATGATTGTTGATACAAAAAGTCATGTTTTTAAATCATCAAAGGTATTCTTTGATCCACTTTCGTGCTGATTCAATGTCCTTGTCAACACTTTCCTTTGTTTCTTTGTCAAAAGATGGAAGAGAGCTGGAAAAAAATTCAAGAATTTTATTAAACATTACAGGTAATATTAAAATAATTCAAATTATTATGGGAAGGTAAATCTAAGAGTTCTGATTGGTTCTTTCTTAGTCAGGATTTTGCCATAGACTGTTTCGAATCCATAAACACAGCCATAATCTGACTGCCTTTATTTTTTTATTTTTGTTGTTTTTGAGTTTCGTACAATAAACTACTTACCTAACCTAGCTTGCTCGGGTCGTACTAGGGAATATTGGTCCTCTGTCACTTTTTACAGATCTTAATATGTGTGGTGTGTGGTGTGTACTTCTATGACCATAAACCAATATTCTGCAGTACGACCCTCACAATTGGCTAGCATGTGTCAGAAGTTTTATTATTTAATATGGCTTGTGTTTGTAGCCTAAGTTCTGATTAGCTAATTTTAGGGCATTATTCTTTTGAAATGCCCAATGGAACAAAGGCCAACACTCGTCACAGGTNTTTAAACAGCACATGTACAGTTTTGGAAATAAAAAAGTTTAGTTTATTTATCATTCACAACATCTTTTTACAAAAAATTATGTTAAGTTTGGTCATGCATTTAAGCTTATTGATCTGAAATATTGTGTGATTGGCTAAAAGATTTTCTTTCCAAGAGGATTAAAAATAATATTGCCAACAAATACACTGACAAAATTTCAAACATTGTAAGTTATAATGTTACATGATTGTTGATACAAAAAGTCATGTTTTTTAATCATCAAAGGTATTCTTTGATCCACTTTCGTGCCGATTCAATGTCCTTGTCAACACTTTCCTTTGTTTCTTTATCAAACGATGGAAGAGAGCTGGAAAAAAATTCAAGAATTTTATTAAACATTACAGGTAATATTAAAATTATTCAAATTATTATGGGAAGGTAAATCTAAGAGTTCTGATTGGTTCTTTCTTGGTCAGGATTTTGCCATACAGACTGTTTCGAATCCATAAACACAGCCTTAATCTGACTGCCTTTATTTTGTTGTTGTTGTTGTTTTTGAGTGTCGTACAATAAACTACTTACCTAACCTAGCTTGCTCGGGTTGTACTAGGGAATATTGGTCCTCTGTCACTTTTTACAGATCTTAATGTGTGTGGTCTGTACTTCTATGACCATAAACCAATATTCTGCAGTACGACCCTCACAATTGGCTAGCACATGTCAGAAGTTTTATTATTTAATATGGCTTGTGTTTGTAGCCTAAGTTCTGATTGGCTAATTTTAGGGCATTATTCTTTTGAAATGCCCAATGGAACAAAGGCCAACACTCGTCACAGGTGATAACCAACAGCATTTTAGAAACTGACATCAGAGACCCAGTATTGACCATAGTGTTCTGCGCACTGTTATTGTTTTGGTTTACATGATACATGTTTCTACTGTTTTCCAACACTGCACAGAGTGCAGTGCACCCTGGCCAAAACTGGGTATTTAAAAGAAGCGATAACAGTAAGGGTAATTGACAGTTTGAACATGGGACAGAGAGCATTAGCGGATATACATGACTTGTATGACTGTAATGATGCTTCTTCCTCTCACTTCCTTGAGTTCAGCAACTAGTGCTAATATCTCCATCATAAAATTATAATAAAACTTACTTGTAAATAGCTGAACTCACTACATCCACAATTCCTCCTGCGATCAGGACAAAGAAAAGTTAAAGTTGAAATACCGCAAACCTATTCACGCTGAATGTATTTCAACATCCAATACAAGCAGTTGCTCAATCCGAAAACAAAAAGAAAAGGAAAGGGTATTTTTTTAACAAACAATAATAACATGATTGTTTCATCAGAAGCATAACTCTGGTTTCATTTAATACATATTTAATATTAAATAATATTTAGTACTTTGAGCACTTCACCAGGCTGGCCATGATGGTGAATCCAAAAATTATGATTTGATCTCCTTTGGAAAGTATGTTCAATTATCATGGAAAATGTTTCTCATGTTCAGAAGCGCCAGTATAGTGTCATGGAAATATCCAGCAAGTCAATTTTGTTTTACATGAGATTGAATTTGGGAGAAATTTAAAATGTGTTAACCTTCAGAGTAACTGACAAAAATAACCCCATATACACTGGACATACACACATGTACGGTATTATAACAACTTTTTGTAGTTCAACTTCCTATTTTTGTCAGTCCAAGTTTTTTCTAAATAAAATAATGGTTCAATTTTAAGTAAAACTAACCTGGGGTACAAACTGTGTCACACAAGTTGCAAAGGCTGCAATATTTGCAATACTGAAAAATATAAAAAGGGGAAAAATTACAGTCATGTCACATTCATCATGCATGAGTGGGAAATTATTGTTCCTTTATTGAATGTGACCATAAAAAAGACCAGTGGATGTTTGCTAGGCATGTTATAAATAATGATATATTATGATTAATATCATCATGGCTGCTAAGTCAGGAAATTACAGTTATTTGGAATATCACATACACGTACATGTAACTGAGTGTACACTGTACCTTGCACAAATGACAATTTGGTTTCTTCTTAGATTTTGTGCATGGACAATCCTTGTCGCACAGCTGACAGAACTGTAAGAAACAGAATGTGTCAGTGATGAGGTCTTCTTGCTAACAACAATAACCAATTTGAATCCATGGAGACTTTGTTTGACATCAACTACCAGAATCCTTCACTTTAATTTTCTTCTCAAGCTAAGGGTAATATTATTATTATTGTTATTAGGACCCCACTGCAGCTTCAAAATTTAAATAACAAAGAAAAAATGACTTAAATTCTGTTAGTTATGGTCATTAATGATGTCCTCATTCAAATATGCTAAATTGTAAATTACTTGATGTCTAATAGACGTTTCAAGATATGTTCAGCTCTTTACTTTCAAGGCTAGTAAACATTGGAAATAAATGTATGTCTTGATTTACTCCAAGTGAAGCCTGTCCACCCACTTTCCAACTCCCCCCATATATTCTGAGCTTTGGTAGATATATATTTACAGTAGGTGGCATAAAAAAAAACCTATTCAGCTTGATCTTGCACTGCTTATCAAATATAACATCAGAATCATTCAGGCCTGTCACAGAAAATCTCAAGTCCTTTCATGCAGATCTCTATTTCTTTAGTTCCAGAAAATATCCATACCTCCTGCAAGGAAGGGATTTTTTCAAAGATCCCCTCCCCACCCCTATGGAAATTCCAATTAAGCTTTATACATTTCTTTAAGTTTTTTGGTCTTCCAGAGCCTCCTCTCCCCAGGAAATTCCAATCCCTTCTGTGGGGGTTTCTGGAAATGCACATTGTACAGCTAAATCATAACAGAAGTAAGGACATCTACATGTATATGTAGACTAGCCCGAAAGTACTTGTATTACATCACTATATAGAGAAATGCTCTGACGGTCTATTTAATTAAACATAGCTTTCTAATATCTTCCCTTCCAGTCCCCACCCCACTTCTTGTGTCAATAACGAAATGTCCTGTTTTGTTTACTGTTGTGTGAAACGTAGCCTTCATGCCATTTAGAACATGTGTGGTAGAGCTACAAATAATATATGGAAGACACTGCTAAACTCTATTCACCATTTTTAAGCATAATTTCACTATAATATTACAGACCTGGTGATAAGGTTACCACCATTTCATCCCAGTCAGTATAGGGCTACTGCAAGGAGAGTTTGTATATAGCAGTCACCATGATACTCTGATGTAGAAATGTCTACGTTTTGATCCAACAAATAGACCAATTTCAATATATTAATATTCAGCCTAAAACAATAGACCTCAGCACAAGGCTCTGGGGAATCACTACAGAGTTTGTGGGGTTTATTCCCCAGAGCCTCGTGTTGAGGTCTATTGTTTAAGGCTGAATTTTAATATATTGAAACTGGTCTAATGTCTGGCAGGTGAGGAGGATGGGCGGCGGATGTGGGGACGTGGATGGGTAAGGTCTTAAGTGAAATATTTTGTCAAGCATAGCAATGACAGCTATTCCTAGAAGACTTTCTTACAGCCCCGTCCTAAATTAACTTAACATACATGTAAACCTATCAAAAATTTTCAGTTCACCGGAGGTCCAATGAAAAGAGAGTTAAAAAATTTCCTGTTTGATAAATGAGTCAGGAGGATCTATTGACTGCTGAAGTTTTAAAAAAACTCCGAAATAATTCTACTGCCAAACCGTGGGGTAATAACAATATGTAGACATAAAGAGGCTTCAAACTGGAGTTTGACCCCCACAAGTCGCGTGTTCAGTTGATCTGGGTCGGATTGACGGTTAAAACTTCCGGTTTGTTACATGCCTTTGTAAAACCTCGCATTTACCGAAGCTATGCATAAAATACATGTAAAGATGCCTACCTTGCAGTACGAGCAATAATTACACAACGATCCCAATGCATAGTTTTCGTCGTCCTCCGATGTGTTTTCATCGGTTGAAGCGGTTGGCGTCTCTGACTTGGCCTCGTTGGTCGCAGAAGCCTCCGACTCTCTTAACAGATTTGGCTCTTCCAGTGGTTTTTCTTCGACCTTCTCGGCACCATAAGCGATATTTACAATTATAAGAAGGCCAAGGAAACTTAAAGAACAAAACGACTTCATTTTTTAGCAAATTTCAGTAACGCCTTCTGGCCGTGAAAAGACGTGTGCAGCTTACGAGGTGAAAACTGTCAGGAAGCTTGACATGAGGTATATACCTACCTGCCAATAATAACCGCAGCTTTGCATGAACGACGGCTCATCAAAGTAGATTGTCTGTAACCTCTGTAACCTTTCTCCGTTTTTTTTAGAGACAATTTTAAACATCAACCCAATTTTCTTGTCCATGCAGTTTTCATCTTAAAAACAAGATATGGCCTAGTATGGTACTCAGTGATTTGGTTTTGGGAGAGATTTCCCATGATTTATTAGCAGGTCATCATCGACAGTTAACATCAGAAAATTTTCAGTACGAGTAACTGATTCCACCCAATTATTTGTCCTATTATATGACAAGATCAAAGGTATAGAGAAACAACAAGTCCCTCCGGCCATATCCCGGGCATTTGACTAGTTGATGTGCCTCCCGATGGGGGTCAAGGGGGGGGGGAGGGAAGTGTAGGAATTTGATAACTGTGTTTAATATCGGGGTGGGAAATTTGACTCCATAAGGGAGGTGCAGGGGGATTTAAAAAAGAAAAAAAGCATGCGAAATCACGATGAAGCAAGAAGGCAGCAAGAGATAATACCGTTCTTTGCAACATTTGCAGCTCAGAATGAAGGCCTCGCGCTTGAAAATCACTCTGAAGATAATACATAAGTTATGCTGCAAAGTGATCTGAGTCGGCATCAACCGAAACTATTGTCGAGAAGCTAAATTTGTGAATAGTTGGTAACTATGATTTGTGTGGCACTTAATTTTTAGTATGGGTTCGTCTAGTGTCAATCTTATGATCATTCGCGGTTCAAGGTTTGCCCACACATCTTGTCAAGGTTCTTAGTTTCCTTATTCGGTTTGCCTAGGAAGTGACAACACTGGCTTCCACCGCTGGTCATATTTGGGTGTATCTACCGACCTTGTTTAGGTTCTCCACTGAAGTTCCGGTCTTGGTGTAAGTTTTTAAAGGCTGAGTATTCTACTCGTTGGCAAGTGCTTGGCTTTTCTTTCGCGGGAGTCGTATGCAAGCGTTTGGGTTAAAGATGTTTAATCTTCCAAGGTCAGTCGTCCCATATGCCCACACATTCCTACACTTGTTGGTCAATTAGTAGAGAGAGATTAATTGCCGTACTCGTCAGATGACGAAATCAGCTGATAAAGATTTCTTGTCCCTCTCGTTTCTGTGCGTATTTTTCTTTTAGCAACTGAGACACGGTACACCTGAAGAATTTGAGTAGGCCGCAACCTTACACATGGTACCGACCATGATGAAAGACATAGAGATATCAATTTTTCTTGGGTAGTTCTGTCCGAGAGGGACAGGCGCAATGAAGTTAACCCTATGCGAAACACCAACCCTTGAGACAAGGCCAGACCACAACACCGGGAACTCTGCCCCCTACCCTTTGCGATAAGTCTGTGGGCTCTTTAGCGTCCCCTTAAACCATGATGAAATTGTTAATACAAAAAATACAGTACGCGCATACACTTGTGTAAAGCGCAGCCGATTTCACATGTTATAATTTCGATCACGATATGAAGCAACCCCCTTGTCCCCCCCCCCCC